CCCTCCCCGGGTTTGGAAGGGGGGTGGTGGGTTAGAGCGGGGGGGCTGGGAGCCAGGACTCCTGGGTTCTCTCCCTGGCTTTGGAAGGGGTGTGGTGGGTTAGAGCGGGGGGGCTGGGAGCCAGGACTCCTGGGTTCTCTCCCTGGCTTTGGAAGGGGTGTGGTGGGTTAGAGCGGGGGGGCTGGGAGCCAGGACTCCCCTTTGAGTAACCACGTCTCCCCCCGCCCAGGCCCTGGCCTGTGGGAACCCCCCCTCGCCTGCAGACACGATGAGCTCGGGCGGGGCCCGGGGTCCGGGGGGCTCCGTGCGGGAGTTCACGCGTCACGCCAGTGATGTGCTGCTCAACCTGGACCAGCTCCGGCACCGCCGCGCCCTGACCGACGTCACCCTGCTGGTGGGGGGGCGCCCCCTGGTGGCCCACAAGGCCGTGCTCGCTGCCTGCAGGTGAGGGGGGGGCTGGGAAGGTCTGGGGGCGTGGCCGGAGAGGGCAGGGGTGGGAAGGGGTGGGCGTGGCTAGAGAGGGGCGTTGCTGTGAACGGGTGTTGTGGGGCTAGAGGGGCGTGGCTGGAGTGGGCTTGCTGGGCTGAGGTGGGCGTGGCCAGGGAGGTCAAGGCTGGAGGCGTGGCTAGAGAGGGTGTTGCTCTGTCTGGTGGGGGCGTGGCTGGGAAGGGGTAGGGCGTGGCTAGAGAGGGCGTGGCTGGGAAGGATTGAGTGTGCCTAGAACGGGAGTGGCTGGGAAGGCTGGGGGCGTGGCTAGGGAGGGCATCAGTCTGTGGTTAGAGGAGCGTGGCCGGGACGGGTGAGGGCGTGGCCAGAGAGGGCGTGGCTGTGTGGCTAGGGAGGGCGGGGCTGGGAAGGAGTGGGCGTGGCTACAGAAGGCGTGGCTGTGCAGCAGTGGGCGCGGCTGTGAGGGGGCACTGCGGGTAGGGGGCGTGGTTGGGAAGGGTGGGGCGCAGCTGGGTGGGGACATGGGGGCGGGCATGGCTGAGGGGCTCATGGGGGCGGGCTTTGCATCGTGGCCGTGGGGCGGGTCTGTGTGGGGCACGGGGCGGGGGGCAGTGACATGGCTGGGAGTTGGTGGGACCACCCAGCAAGGGGGGGCCACGCCCATCTGGATCCACAGCTGGGGGCGCCAGGCCAGAGTCTGAGCCCCTATCCGGGTGGGGGAGAAGGGGCTGAGGAGGCGTGGCCATGGGGAGGCTGAGGCTGGGCCACGCCCCATTGTGGGACGGGGAGGCGTGGCCACAGGGGAGGTGTGGTCTGTCTGGGAGTTGTAGTCCCCTAACCCTTCTCCCCCCCCCCCCCGCCAGTGGCTTCTTCTACTCCATCTTCCTGGCCCAGGGGGGCAGCGAGGTCAGTGTCATCACCCTGCCTGGATCCATCCAGCCCGGGGGCTTCCAGGCCCTGCTGGATTTCATGTACACCTCCCGCCTGCCCCTCACCCCAGCCTCCGTCCCAGCCCTGCTCAGCGCTGCCACCTACCTGCAGATGGAGCACGTGGTGGACGCCTGTCACCGCTTCGTCCAGGCCAGGTAGGGGGCGCCCCAGGGCGGGGACTGGCTGGCTCAGGGGGC